AGCTTGTGTATTGGCATTCCAACCCGATGGTTGATGGGCCTGGGGTATTCCAACCCGATGGTTGACAGGACCCATAGTGTATTGGCATTCCAACCCGATGGTTGATGGGTCTGGAGTATTCCAACCCGATGGTTGACTGGATCCATAGTGTATTGGCATTCCAAACCGATGGTTAAAGGGCTTGGGGTATTCCAACCCTATTGTTGATTGGACCCGACATGCTGTTATCGTATATGTTATTTGTTTGTGTGTTGGTACTTTATGGATCTCACTGAGCTTCGACTTACAATTTTGGGTTATGTTTCAAGTACTTCAGATGACCGCATGAAGGCGAAGGTGTGACCATACACATCCTCATGTTTTGTCTTATGATTTTGGGAGACTCTAATGTTGAAAATGTTTTGAAAACTATGTTTGTAAACAATTTGTGAATTTGGGTTGTTTTAAAAAAAAGTTTAAATTTATCATGATTTTTAGGATGTTACATAAAAGTGGAAGGACTAAAGGTTATAGTGTTCAAGAGATTGAGCATTGACCAATTTTAGCACCTCCCTTTTGGGTGGACGGTTCTACGAAGTGTTCTAGATAGTTTCTAGAACTTTTCTTGGGCTCTAAGGAAACTTTGGGGGAAGCAAAATGGATAAGTCCTATTCAAGGAAACCCCACCTTATCCAAGCCCATTTAGTCACCTATATAAACCCCCCTTGGAGTTCATATTTCCGGCACTCATAATTCCCAAAGGAATTCCAAAAATCCTTTCCTCTCTCCTCCATCCTCTTTGGCATCCAACTGCAGGTCTGGGTGTGATCCATCAAAGACATGAGATTTCTAGTGTTGGCTTTCTAAAGCTCTACAAAAAAAAAGGATTTCTAGTTTATTTACAATAATAAACTAAAAGGTATGTTTTTTTATTATCACTTCTCCTAAATTGAAAATAGTTATGTACTTTAATGTTCTTGAATTCAAATTGTTGTTTGCATATCATAGTGAGAACGTAGATCCTTTAGGGTGTATAAGAACTTAGGGTTTTATGTTTTCAAACAAAAATATGATTTTTTTTATCTATAAAACCCATTAACTATTTGAGCTCGAATCATACAAATCATGGGTAGCAATGGAGCCTTAACACAAGAAAGAATTAGTAGCGGGTGAGGATTTGATGAAAGAGGTGGAAGATTACCTCGATTATGCCATGGAAAGTGCGATGGAGGAGTTCAGAAGGTTCGAGGAAGATATGGAACATGAAGTGAACAAAGAGCTACATGGATTGTTTTCGATCAGAGAAAATGAGAGGAAGTTGGGTAAATCTATGGAGAAAGTGACCAATTTCGTTTCTAACCTGAAGATGCGTTGATAAGATTCTTGGTAAATCCTGTTTTGATTTGGTTTTTCGAGTTTAATAGAGATATGGTAAATCATGGTCCTAATTTTTGCTTTCTTGGATTTATTGGCAATTGATTTTTGTGTTATTAGGGTGTTACAAAGAGATGTGTGTATCTTAAATTTGAACCCAGATCTTTATATGGTTTGGGTTTTTATGATATGGTATTAATTGGAGAGAGTGAGTGAGTGAGAGAGGGAGAGAGAGAGAGAGAGAGGCCCATAGTTAGTTTTATTAAAATTTTAAAATAAATAGAAAAAAAACATTAAAAAAGGTATTAAGAGGGCAATTTAGACTTTTTAGTTTGATAAACAGAAAATTTGGTCGACTTGATGTTACTGACCACCAAGCTGACTCGGTCCACCCTATATACTTGTTGAACCAAACAAAATAAACCCTGCCCTAATTTACCCCTACACCCTTTTAGAAAAAAATGCAAATAGAGAGAAACTATCACCTCCATCCTCACATCTGCAATTTTTGGTGCCTGCTTGCTCCTGGCCGGCAACACCATCGACCTTTGTCGCCGGTGTTCCTCAGCCTTCCACAGTAGCGCAGGTAAGCAACATAATTTATCATTTTTTTTTTCTGAAATCATGATTCACAAACAAGGTGAAGAAATTTGATTTTCTTTCCGCTTCCTTCATCACTTCCGTATCTCCGGTGTTCCTCACCCACTTTTGGTGTTCATCGCTTCCTTCATCCAAACAGGTACATTGTTGTTTGGCAGTATCTGAATTTTTAAGATGTCTGAATTTTTAACATGTTGTTGGTTGGAACCTCTGAATTTTTGTGTTGAATTAGAAAAATGGTCGTTTTACCCCTTTGTCATCATTTTTGTTGAATAGTTATAAAAACCATACAAAATCCAAATAAACATAAATCAAAATTTTATCTTCAATAATTTATAACAATTTTTTGAGATATATTTACAAAAATAACATCAATTTTTTATCCGAAGGATTTAAAAGTTAAAAAACAACATAGTTGATATTGAATGTAGAGATATAAATTTGTGGTATATTTCAGATACACCAAACAATTAGTTGTTTTATCATCTTCTGTCTTAATATTTCAAACGACATTCATATTTTCTTGAACCTTGATACTAGTAATTACAGGTTTTACTAAAATTTATCATCTTCTATTGTAATATAACCAATTTGAGACACAAATATTGAAACAAATACATGTATCATATGACGATCCAGTACCGGATCGGGCATGAAATACAAAGAAAATCAAAATAGAGGATTGATAATCGAGTTCTATGGCAAAAAAAAAAACCATATATTTCTAAGAATCGGTTTTCAAGGGAAAAGAGAAGAATAATCGATCTATTTATAGAGAATCTATTTTCAGGAAAAAAAAACTTACCTACAACATGAGGTCGTCGTCGTTGCGGTGCTAGCGAATGCTGGTAGAGGCGGTGAAGCTACTAGTGGTGTAGTTAATGCCGGAGGGAGTAGAAGACTGTATATCTGAGACGTAGGATAAGGGATGGGTGGGAGGAGAAGGGGCAATATTGTTGGAGCTTATCGTTGGAAGTCATGGTGGGAGTCGATTTCAGAGAGGTAGATAATGGGAGGAGGTCGAAGTAGGTGACTTGAAGGTGGGTGTGTTGTTTTTGAGGCGAACGTATCAGCAATGCATGAGGGTAAACGAGGGAAGGAGGCTTGATTTTTTTCAGATACAAGCCAAAGTCTGAAACTTTAAGAGGCTTTTACAAAATTAAGGTGTTGTTTGTTTGTTTTAAGCAAAAATTTATGAAGTCTACGGACGACCTCTGCCACTGTAGCAAAAGAGGTGGAACAAACGACTGCAGACTGTAATTAGAAGCGTGTTTGTTTTTTAACATCTGCAGGCTGCTGCAGATGTTAAAAAAATAAAACAAAAGGATTTTATAAACATAAAATAGTTTTCCAACACTGAAAATTTAATAATTCTAGTCTTAAAACATTGAAATAAAATTCATACAACCAAATTAGTCTTACAATAAAACAATTTGAAATAAATTTCATATAACCAAACTTTAATAATTCTCATTCAATATTTCGCATCAATTGCTCGGCAATTTCATCCTGTAACTGGGTCATATATTCACAGTCCGCTACAGTACCATGTATTGGAATGTCATCTTCATCATCATTAAAGGGCACATTGTTATTTCGAAGTGAGAGGGTCATATATTCACAGTCCGCTACAATACCATGTGTTGGAATGTCATCTTCATCATCATTAAAGGGCACATTGTTATTTCGAAGTGAGACATTTGGTTCATCAGACCGTGCAAAATACTCATCACTCAGTCTCTATCTACTTGTAAAGTTATGAAGCGTGAAACATGCAAGGTAATGTTACTTTGTGTAACTAACGAGAACGGTGTCATCCTCTTCAATATAGGGTATCATGCTTTCAAGACTCCAAAATCACGCTCAATGACGTTCTGAAGTTTTGCATGTGCATGGTTAAATTTTTCTTTATTGGTTAATGCACGTCTTTGATGGAAATCTCCAAGCCAATACCTCACATTACGATACGTTGCCATAAAACCTCGAGTGTGTGCTTACGCGACATCACAAAGATAATATTTATCTATAAAAAAGCCCAAAAAAATTCAATTTCAAACTAAGATAAAGCTATTTAAATAACCATAAACGTTACTTGATGGTGGAAACGGGAATGGTGCATGTGGATTTGCTACTGCTTGTGATAATATTCTGAAATCATGTGTTACCCCTTCCCAACCGGCCACAACAAATGTAAACATCAAGTTGAAATCACAAATTGTCAATACGTTTTGGTAACAATCGCATTTTCCCCTACTTCTATATAAATCTTGTTGTTGTTGTTGTTGTTGTTGTTTTTTTTTTGCAGGGACAACATGTATCAAAGTGCCATCAAGTGCACCAACTGCTCCTTTGAATACCCGTCATAACCTCCCATTATGTCCTAGAATATTTGGATTCAGATTAAAAGAAGTTGGTACTATAATGTCATGTGCGAAAAGTAGCATCTTGTCCAACACTTTATGAAAAAATTTATGAATTGTTTGCTTTGAGTGTTGAAATCTTTGCTTGATGATCGCATAACGTTAGTTATGATCGATCACCATTAAAAACATAGCCATCTTTTCCTCAACCGATACATGTTTGCTATCCTTTAACACGTAATTTACTCTAAAATGAGAACATAGTCGTACAAAAGATTCACGTGACATGCGTAGTACTTCAACACATTGTAGAGGATTTTTCCCAATAACTCTAACATGTATTCATGTCCCGTCATTTCCGAATCGTTGTCCCGCACTCATTTCACACCCCTCTTGCAAAAATAGCGTACGTACAAGTACATTAGAATAATGAGAAGTATCTTTTTTCGTGATCCGTTAGAAACCTATTAATTAACACAAGTACCAAATAACATGACATAAAATTCAAGTTACAAATAACATAACATAAAACTGAAGTACCAAATAACATAAAATTCAAGTACCAAATAACATAACATAAAATTAGAATGTCGGATACCATAACATAAAATTCAAGTACCAAATAACATACAACTCAAGTACCAAATGCAAAAAACATAACCACATAAACAACACAAATATGTAAACCTAACGAACACTCGTTCCATCCTTTAAAACTCCTAAACTAGTAGCCGTCATCTCGATCCATCCTCTTAATATTTCTGGATCATTGGGTAAATTTACCCACATCTCTCTTATACTCATGGTCCTTCCAAAAATGTTATAAGCATCAAATTGTAGATGGTCTATTGTGCCTAACTCAAGCAATTCCAACTTCTCTAAACATTGAGGAATTGTAGGCCCCTGAGTCAAATGTCGTAGAGCTTTTTGCATCTCTAGTGCTAAATCGTCAGCAGTAATAGAAGTTATATGTGAGGCGCTAGAAGGAGGATAAGGTGAGGCGCTTGAAGCTTGAGGTCTAGGAGTTGTTGGTTTAGCCCTTTTGTTGGGGTTACCAGAAGGTGAAGCAGCAGAAGGTGAAGCATCTGAAGGTGGTAGTTGGGTAAAAGGCTCACTAGCATGATTGGAAAAGTAATCATCATCATCATCATCTATATTTATAGAAGGGGTGTCCATAAGTTGTAGTGGTTTGATATGGAAAGAAGATGATCCATGGCCCGATGGTGTGTGGGATGTGGCATAGTTGAGATTACCAGAGGAACTGCTTCCATCAAAGAGTTCCGCACAAAGCTCTGGAAACAATAATGCGACAGTTTTCAAAGAAGTAGCTTTTTGGATGTCCCTAAACCCAATCAAAGTAACAAAAGTATTATAAGAAAATTTGCCAACTATATTAACAAAATACATAATAATATGTGTGTGTGTGTATATATATATATATATATATATATATATATATATATATATATATATATATATATATATGAAAGGTCTAGTATGCTCAAGAGTCATATTAAAGTGATATTGCTAAATAACATATGATACTAATGGGCACACTAACAACAACTTGATATAATTAATTATTTATTAGAAATTAATTTTTATAAATATTCTATAAAACTCTTATAATTAAATTGGATAGTAATTTTTATGGAAATAATAATTTTCATTAACAAGTAACATTATATTATTTCATATGGTATGAATTAATAAGTCATGCACAACTTTTTGGACTAGTTGAAAACCTTTTTTCTTTTACTCAAAAGACAAAGTTTATATTTTATAAACCTTGAGTTTATAAAATTTAAACTAACTTTCCTCTTCTTTATGCAATTTTCGAGATTTGCATAAAAAGAAGAAAAATATAGGTTTTCATTAGTTTATTCAAAAGTAATGAAGCATGAGAGACATGTTTATGACATGTGGACATATGTGTTTATAGTGTTAAGACCTAATGGTTAATACCTTCTCTTTATGCATATAAATAAGAGGGCTTGCTGATAGTTTATTTTATTTCCTTCTTTTTATTAGTTTATTTTAGATTTTTAGGTCTTTTTATTATTATTGCATTGTATTTTATTTATTTTCTTTATCATGGATCGTATCGGGTATTTTCTATTTTATATGAGGTATTTTGAAGGGTTTTGGAGCTTTTGTGGTTGTAGATTAGCTTGGAGACGGGCTATGTGGGCTTTCGAGGCATTATTAGGCTTTGCAGATGTAACATCCCGGAATCGCAAGAGTAGAGTTGAAGGGCTGAAAGTGCAAGTTTTAGAGGATGACTCGGCGAGTCCATGGCTGACTCGGCGAGTCAGGTCGCAGTCATGGTCGCGTGTCAAGTGGCCTACTCGGCGAGTCCATGGGATGGACTCGGCGAGTAGGTGCTGTATGGAGAAAACCCTAAATTTCAGGGTTGAGCCCTATATAAAGAGCATTATACTCCTCCACAGCCTCCCTTATTTCCCCCTTGAGTTCCAGAAACCTTAAATACGTGGAGAGATCATTTGTGGAGCAAATTAGAGCTTGGAGAGGTGTTGTTTGAAGAGATCTTGAAGGAGAAGTGGCTTGGATCAAAGGGCTTTGCTTGGATTCGAGTTTGGCTGCTATTGAGGCATCTTTTGGAGGTAATATCTTCGTCCTTAGGCTGTGCATTCCTAGTTTCATCATTTTGGGGTTTGTGGGGAGTATGTCTTGGAATGTTTTGGAGTTTGGAGGATAGATCTGAGGTTGCTACCTCAGATCTGGAATATTGAAGGCCTAGAGTGCATTAAAGTTCCTGTGTTTGAGTGCTTAGTGAGCCACCATGTCCCAAACCTTGGTTTTAAGGTGAATATGGCTTAAATCTCGTTAGATTCACGTAAAGTTTGCCACTTTACGTGATGGATGGATTGTAGGAGGTTGGATCTATGTTTTGGATCAATTGCATGGCCTGAGATGCTTCTGTATGGATTCAGATAGGTGGTACTCGACGAGTCACATGGGTGGACTCGACGAGTTGCTTGAAGATGGCCTGGGACTCGACGAGTTGGAAGAACAACTCGGCGAGTAGGTTGAAGATGGCCTTGGACTCGACGAGTCCATTTGGACTCGGCGAGTCTTGTCGAGGAAGTCCCAATATTTCTGGTTGAGTCGATGAATCGGTGAGTCAAGGGATGACTCGGTGAGTTGGGTGCGAGTGGACTCAGAGTTGTTGGACTCGACGAGTCTTGGGTGACTCGGCGAGTTGGGTCGCTAATTGAGGAAGTTCTGAGCATAAGGACTCGGCGAGTCATCGGGATGACTCGGCGAGTAGGGTCAGTCAGGGGTTGACTTTGACTCGTCCAAGGTTGACCAGTTGTCTTCCAGGGGTATTTTGGTAATTAAGGTATTTATTGAGTTGTATGTTTTGATGTTTAGTGAAGGAGTTCGTGCCAGAGTTCGGAGCAGCGGGATCTTATCTTTTCAGCCGGCAGTTTCGAGGTGAGTTATCCTCACTATATCAACAGGGTCTAAGGCACCAAGGCCGGCCCTTTATTGTATTGAGATTCGGTTATGGTTATTATGTTATTGTTTGATGTGTCTGCATCCTGGTAGCTAGGATGGTACATGCTAGGAGGCCTTGTTAAGGTCAGTTTTCCCGATATACAGAGTGATGCTATGCTAGTGACCGGTTAGGTCGGTAACCCGGTTAGGGTAATGATATGCTATGTGATCTGCTTGCTCGGTTTGTTGACTATGACTGTTATATGAATGTATGTTTTGTGCACATGGTTGTTTGGACTGGAGATGGGTTGAGGCGGGTCCTGCTTTGTGCTGTAGGCCAAGATACCCAGGGCGGACCGGTTGTTCCGAAGGCCCAGCGAGCGGTCCGGATAGGCTGTAGGCCCCACGAGGGCGGACCAGACGTGCCGAGGCTCGGAGAGTGGACCAGGCCGACTGAAGGCCCGATGCGGGCGGACCAGTCACACTGTAGACTCAGAGAGTGGACCAGGTGGGTTGAAGGCCCGATGCGGGCGGACCAACCCCACTGTAGACTCGAAGGACATGACTAGACCCGGAGGATGGATCCGTTGGACTGAAGGCCCGATACGGCGGACCAGTCACACGGTAGACCCGATATGCATGGTTATTCTATGTTCTGTTATGTTATGTATGTTTTATATGTTTTGGACCGGAAGGTCGTAGCCTGGAAGGGCGTATACGTGGTTGGTATTTTGGGGGTATCTCACTAAGCTTTCGGGCTTACAGTTGTGGTTTAATGTTTTTCAGGTTCTTCAAGAGACTGTGGCAAGGCGAAGGCGCGATCGTACCGCTCCTCATGATTTTGTAGCAATGTGATTCTGGGAATACTCAAATGACTTGTATTGAAAACCTTTTTGTAAACATTTTAATGAAAATCAGGTTGTTTTGGAAATTTTAAATTGGTTGTATTTTTCGACGTTACAAGTTGGTATCAGAGCCTTGGTTTGAGTGAATTGGAGGAACACTTGTGTGACTCCAGTCTCAAATCGAGGAGAGTTTTCAAAAAGAGAATTTAAAATGGTTTTCAAAATGAGTAAAGGAGGACGCGGAGGTACGATCAGCCGGAGCCAGTAAGTAACCCCAAAATACCATACATGACAATTGTTTTATTGAGCTTTGATAGAACAGCATGCTAGAGTTAGGCTAGGGATCTTCAGGATTTATTGATGAGTTGCCTGATTCATGATGCCTGCTAGCCTGGGGTTCCTTGTGAGAGATTTCTGGTGTTCCTCTAGTTGTGAGATATAGCGATGTTGTGTGTGTCGCTAGGGTGTTGTGGGAGTACTTCATACAAACATGGGTTTGTGTGGAAGGTAGTATGGGCCCGTACTACTGAAAGCACGGACTCATACGCGTATCAGGGAAACCATGACCTCTAGGGTTGGGATGAGAGCTAGTTTCCGGGATAGTGGAATATGTCTGAGATTTGGTGTTTTATTTTCAGTATGGAGATTTCAGGGCACGCTGGGAGTGGATCCGGGTCAGGATCAGGAGCCGGAGAGGGAGTTCCGGGTGGGTCTGTACAACCCGAGGTTGTCAGCCAGATGAGTACGCATGAGTTGGATGCAAGGATTCGTGAGATCTTGCATGATGAGGTTGCTGCATTGTTTCGGGCTGAGCTGCCAGAGTTGTTTGGGTCGATCAAGACCGCCATGGTGGAGTATTTTGATGAGCGCTATGCGGCTCTCACGGAGACGGCTGCCGCGGCGGCTACCGCAGCAGTAGCAGCGGCAGGGGGAGGAGCCAGTAGAGGTTTTCAGTATCGGGACTTCGATAATACGAAGCCTCCCACTTTTGATGGAGTTCAGGATCCGATCGTTGCTATGAGATGGTTATCAGATGTGGAGGGATGTTTCTTCACGTGTTCATGCCCTGCTGATCAGAGGGTGAGGTGTGCTTTGAACCTGTTGAGGCTCGGAGCCAAGGATTGGTGGAGATTGACCACGGGGTCGTACTCGGATGCGCAGAGGGCTGTGATTTCATGGGATCGGTTCAGAGAGATGTTCAGCACTCGTTATGTTCCGCAGGTCGAGAGGGAGAGGTTGGCTCAGGAGTTCTTGGAGCTGAAACAGGATTCGGAATCGGTGACGGAAATCACCAGGATGTTTACTGAGAGGGCGATGTTTTGCCCTGAGTTCGCTTCGAAGCAGGCTCAGATGTCCCGATATCTGAGTATGCTAAAGAGAGACATCAGACAGTTTGTGTCTGCGCAGAGGTGCGAGACTTTGCTGGAGTTACAGGAGGCCGCCAGGCGGCGTGAGTTAGAGATTGAGTTGCAGATGCGTGAGCTGAGGCAAGCTCCGGTTCAGTCGCAGCCGGCGGCGAAACGGTCTAAGACCGTTGATTCCAGGATGGGAGATCAGGGTGGCCACGTCTGTGGAAAGTTGGAAGGGGTCATGCCGGGGTTTGTCGGTCCGGTGGAGCATGCCGCAAGTGCGGAAAGGAGGGGAACTATGCGAGGGATTGTCGGCAGTCAGTGCCGGTTCGGGATTTGAGGATATGCTATCATTGTCATCAGGTTGGACATTTGAAGGTCAACTGTCCACGGCTTGCTGCAGGACCGGTGCAGGTTCCAGCACCGGCTGCGTTGAGGATCACCGGTGGAGATCAGGATGGAGCTGAGCCCCCAAGGGCTTAGGGTCGTGTTTTTCAGCTTGCTGCTGCGGGTATGTTTCTTTCTGATGTTTGATTATTTATGATTGTTGTGGAGTATTGTTATCTGTTGGTTTCGTTGAATTGCGTTTCGGGTTTTCGTGTGGTATCCGTTGTTCCTTGAGGGTTTGGTGAGTTGTGATCGAGATTTCGTTTTAGTATCTTTTGTTCCCTGAAGGATCGTTATGGTTATGGATTTGCACTTCGAGCTATCGTTGATTATCTTTGTGAGGATTGGTGGCGGATGCGGCGTT